TCGTTCAACGAAAGTGTTGGAATATGCGTTTTGTGGATGTGCTTTCTTTTGTTCCCTTTTTCGGTGCCGCTCTGTACAGTATCTACTTCAAGGTTTCACGCGTCGGTAAGGGGCCACACAGATGGGAGGTGGTAATCACAGGAGTTTTCTTGATGCAACAGCAGGATAGCAGTAGTACCGTGTTCTCCGTCCTCTCCACAACCGATGCTTCCTGTCCTGGTAACGCCAACAGCAGTCAGCCCCTCTCCTCTTCGTGTACTCACGACTGCTGTGGGATGTCCACTTCTAAACTGCGAGTGTTGCACTCCGGAGAGGTTCCAACCCACACCCTAAAGCCAGAGGGATCTCCAAGCTTGATTCAAGCTCGGCTGCTGCGAAAGCCCGCTGCATGTTTGAGTCCGTGTGTGCTTGTACAGACCATCGTTGTTGAACATGTGTACATTAGAACAGTTCATGAAAGAGCGTGCTCGGTCTCCGTGCCTACAAACCAGCAGTATCACACGCGACCAGCACACTCTCGTGCCCACAAGTGCCAGTTGCTGCACTCGGGGCGGTACCTCTTTCTCCCTAAAGAGGAAAGACGAAGCGGGACACACTGCTGAAACCGCATCATGTGTGAGCGACAGCAGGAGGGAGAGAACCAGACAGAGCTCCACTGCTGCTGTATGTGCATGTACACCGATGTCCCTGCAGTTACGGTGCATGCGCAAAGACCGCGCTTTGATTGGGATCTCTCCCCTACGCAGCCACCGAAAGGGGCAAGGCAGACCGCATTGAGTGTTGTGACCCGTCCTGGCAACAGCAGTACAAACCACCCAGCAGAGCATTGAGAGGCCGGCAGGCCTGCAGTACCCACCTGTTGGGGAAGTTGCCCAGTAGAGCCAGCTCAATGTCCTGGTCATGAGCCCCAGGCATACCCCCATCCCCGCCCTTCGCCGCGCCACCCCGTCCATCGCCACCGCCTGCAGTGACTCTAGACCCTCCCCCACCCCGCGCTCTAGACACCCAGCTCTTCGCGAAGGATGACCTCGCGCCTTGTTCAGGAGCGGGCGTGCATGAACGAGAAGGGTGCTCTCTGCCTCCGCCGCGTGTCGTGCATGTGGATGAGGAAGAATCTATGCCCACCGCCCCAACACTGGCACCAGCGCCAGCCAACGACAACAAGAGAAGCTGTACGAGCGGCTGCGGTGCTCTCCCCATGCTTGTCCCGCTCGTTTGCTCTGTGTTGCCACGACCTGTGGTTGCCAACTGCCAACCCATGGGCAGCTGTTTGGGTTTTCGTTTGGGCTGAAATAAAGCCTCCCGAACTTACTGAAACCCGCGAAGATGCTGCAGTGGTGGAGGACAATGGTTAGCCATTGTTAGTACACCTATGACAATCAAGTGACTGATTGTTATTGTCATATACCATTGGTGGCGGACGGGGTGCCTCGAAAGTTTAAGTGGTTGAAGTTGCAGCCAGCCCCTAGAGCTCCAGAGACACGCGTCACGCAGTCTCGCCTGGCTGTGACCCCGAGGGAGTGCACTTGCAGGACGTTCAGGCGCCGGCTGCCGCGAACGTGGTCACAGCGCTCCTCCCATTGTACCCTTTGTTTACCCGCACCTAGACTGCAGCACAGATACGGACACAGCTACAGATAGCGCCCGCACTCAAGAACGTAGCAGTTTAGAAATTGAGACTCGCAAAAAATCAGAGGCTAAGAATTCGAGCACCATTTGTGAGCTCGGTTAAGAACCCCATTTGTAGCCCGCAAGGGGATGACCAGCAAAATAAGAACCCCAGCCTCGACCGAAACTAGAGGTTCTTAAGTGCGGGCGCCATCTGTCTTCTACTGTAGTAGATACCGCAGTAGCTGGTGATCGAAGCTTTTGTTGAAGCCATTGTGAATTGTTCAGAGAGAGAGCGAGAGAGAGAGACATTGAACAACATCGATGTGCAAAGAATGTGAGTGAAATCTTTGCTAAGGAGAAATTGGATATGACATACATATTCTTAGACTACTGGAACTCCCCCCGGATCTTTTGGACGAAAAACAAGAAAAGTCTCCCACGCAGCAGCTGGAACTCGTTGTTTTGGAGAAAGAATTGGCATGTATGGCAGCCGCATCGGCAGGGACAATCCGTCGGAGAGAGGAACCTGGCCCGTTGCCTCCTTTCACCGGTGGACGAGGTACTTCGTCCGCGCTTGCCCCTAGAGCTATAGCTACATAGCAGCGCTTTCTCCCCAAAAGCTAATACTGTGGTGTCGTTGTTCATTTGCGAGAGTGGAACGAACGACGACGGTTTTTGTCATGAAGAAGAACGGCAAGCAAGCGATGAAGATCACCGTCCCGTACATGTACAATAGTCATTTCAATCTGACGTAAATAGAGAGCACAGACGAGATGGAAGATTCTTGCCGTCATACCCTTCCCATCTACGTGACCAAGTCTACTAGACGATAGGGTTCCCAGAATACCCCGGCACCCCCGTTTTAGAGGAGGTTCATCGATGGCCAATGCCTGCCATTCTTGGCGAGCTGAAACGGTGACTGATGTTCGATCCTGCTCGCAAGGGGTTACGAAGGTCGCACCCCCCCAACATCTCCCTGTCTGCGGAGGAGGACGGCTCCTTGCTTGTTGAAAAAAGGATTACTTCGTGTCAGAGTTTGCCGATAGCTACCGGACTCGCTCAACAAGATAATTGGAGTACCATCAAGCAGCATCCTATTCCAACCCTCGTTCCACTTAGTGAACCAGGTGAAACAAAAAACGCGCAACATTCACATCCCCTATCACCTCCCTCACAGGTTGGAACACGCGTACCAATCCCTGAAAAACCCTGACCCAAACTCACATGTGTTCAATCACCGCTGTACACCGTGGATACCTCCGCACGCGAATACCACAGCAATCGAGTGCCAGCTTCGTACCACCATCAATCAGCCAAGAGAATGAAGGGCAGAGAGACAACCGATTGATGCCCGCGTGATGCCTAGAAGCACAGAAATATCGTGGCCTAATCCCAAACGACAGATATCAGCATGCATGCATCCATGTAAAACTCGTCCGTGTCGACCGCACGTGCACTCTCCCGCCTCACGAACGCCGGGAGCACCATGTAAACACGCATTCATCCACGCCATCGATTCTCACCCAAGCTACATGATAAAAAAATTGCCCACGCCTGTCAACTGCTGTAGCCCGGCATATGCCCAACTTCAAAGTCTTGTGCACAAAAACAACGAAATCAGACACACTCGGCGCAGCACACGTCTCTCCACGGTTCGTAGTGCTCAAGAAGGATGGGGGGGGGGGGGGG